TGTGGTTTTTCAGGAATTGGTACATTTCATCTAAGTTGTCAAATTTATATGCATAGTATTGCTCATAATAATCTCTTACTATTGTTTTAAATATCTTCTATGTCTGTGGTAATATTCCCTCTTAATTTCTTGATATTGGTAATTTGTGTATTCTCTTTTTCTTTGTCAGTCTTGCTTAAGGCTTACCAAATTTATTAATCCTTTCCAAAAAATCAGCTTTTGGTTTTATTGATGTTTTTCTCAATTTGCCCATTTTCAATCTCATTGATTCCTGTTATGTTTCTTTCCTTCTCCTGGCTCCTTTATATTGTTAACTCTTCTTTTTATGATTTCTTACACTAGGAGCTTATATTACTGATTTGAGACCTTTCTCCTTTTCTTACAGAAGCATTTAGTGCTACGAATTTCTCCCTAAGCACTGTATTTCTGCATCCCACAGATTGATGTGTTGTATTTTCACTTTTGTTCAGTTAAAAATATGTTCTAGTTTCCCTTGAGACTTCCTCTTTGGCTCATTGAACACTTGTAAGTGTCTGGAGATTGGTAGTTCTCTTTCTATGACTGATTTCTAGTTTGATTTCATTGTGGTCAGAGAAGAGAGTTTGTATTTTGCTCCTTTTATAATTTGTTAAGGCTTGTTTTATGACTCAGGATATGACCTATCTTGTGAATATTTCATGTGCACTTGAAAAATGTATTCTGCTACTGTAGGTTGTAGTTTATAAAGTGGTTAAATCAGGATATGGACAGTGCTCAGTTCTTCGATATTCTACTGATTTTATGCCTCCTTTTTCCATTGAATGCTAAAGAGTGTTGAAATTCCTCACTATAATCATGTATTTGTCTATTTCTCCTTTCAGTTCTGTTAGTTTTTGCTTCATGGATCTCAAAGTTCCTTTGTTAGGTATACAAACATTTAGGATTGTCATGTTTTCTTAGAGAACTGACCTCTTGATCATTATGTAATGCCAATGTCTTCAACCTGATGTTATTCCTCATTCTTTTTGTTGTTGTTGTTGTTATTCCTTATTCTTAAGTGTACTTCATCTGAAATGAATACAGCCACTACTGCTTTCCTCTGATTCATGTTGCTTGTTCTACCTTTTTACTTGTGATCTACATGTGACATCTATGTAAAATGGATTTCTTGTAAGTAGCACATAGCTGGGTGTTTTTTTAATTATTTTTATTTTTATTTATTTATTTATTTGACAGAGAGATCACAAGTAGGCAGAGAGACAGGCAGAGAGAGAAGGAAAAGCAGACTCACCGCTGAGCAGAGAGCACGAAGTGGGGCTCGATCCCAGGACCCCGGGATCATGACCCCATCTGAAGGCAGAGGCTTTAACCCACTGAGCCACCCAGGCGCCCCGCTGGGTGTTTTCTTTAAAGATCCAGTCTGACAATCTCTGTCTTTTCTTTAGCATGTTTAGACCATTTAGTTTGTGTTCATACTGCTATGGTTGGATGTAGGTCTGTCATTTTTATGCTCTACATTCCTGTCCCTGCTTTCTTTTGGAGTATTTGAACATTTTTTAGTATTACATTTTTAACTTGTCTCTGGTCTTTTTTACTATATCTCTCTGTATAGTTCTTTTTTTGTGCATGACAGCTCTAAGAATTACAAAATAGTTAAGAGTCTACTTAGAATTCACATTCTGCCGCTTCCAGGGGAATGTAGAAAGCCTACCATCAAGAAGCCTGGATGGCTCAGTTGGTTGGATATCTGCCTTTGGCTCAGGTCATGATCCTGGGTTTGGGGATCGAGCCCCACATCAGGCTCCCTGCTCAGTGGGGAGTCTGCTTCTCCCTCTCCCTGTCCCCCTCACTCCCTTCTTGTGCACTCCCACTCTCTCAAATAAAAAAATAAAAATCTTTAAAAAAAAAAAAAAGAAGAAGAAAGAAAAGAAAGCCTGCTATCCTCTAGATCCCTATCCTCTCTCCTTTTTGTTTTACTGGTCTTAGGTATGGCATCCACATACATTGACTGCCCCATCAGACAGTGTTACACTGTTTATAACATTGATTTACCATTAATCATATTTTAAAGAGTACGAGGGGAGAAAAAGAAGAAGACTAGTTTATATATTACCCAGGCATTCACCGGTTCTGTTGTTCTTCCTATACTCTTGAAGTTCGGAAGTTGCCTTTGGTATCATTTGCTTTCGATCTGAAGAATTTCCTTAAGCAGTTCTTTTAGATGGTCTGCAGATGAGAAATTATCTTAGTGTTTCTTCTTCTGAGAATGTCTTAGTTTCACCTTCGTTCCTGAGGACATTTTCACTGGCTATGGGATTCTAGATTTACGGTTCTTTTATTTTGGCAGTTTTTATTCCCTATTTATGTTCTTACTCTCTCTAGTCTCCAAGGTTTCTAATAAGAAATTCACGGCCATTCAAACTGTTGTTTCCTCTAAGTAATGCATTGTTTTTGTCTGGGTCCGTTCCATATTTTTTCTTTGTTGTTAGTTTTCGTGTCTGGGGATGTCTGGGTGGCTCAGTCGATAGGCATCTGCCTTTGGCTCAGATCATGATCCCAGGATTCTGGGATCGAGTCCTGCATTGGGCTCCCTGCTCAGGGCAGAGCCTGTTCTCCCTCTCCCTCTGCCTGCCTCTCTCCCTGCTTGTGCTCTCTCACTCTCTCTGACAAATAAATAAGTAAAATCTTTAAAAAAAAAATGTGTTTGGGTGTGGATTTCCCTGGGCTTCTCCTGTTTGGGGTTCAGTGGGTGTCTCTAGTCTGTAGGTTTATATTTTGCAAGATTTGGGAAGCATTCAACCATTCTCTCTTCAAATACAGTTTCTGTACCACACTCTTTCTCTTCTCTTTCTGAGACTTTGATACACAAATATTAGACGTTTTTGGATTGTTTTATATGTCCCTGAGGATTTGTTCAATTTTTCCCAATTGTTTTGCTCTCAGTTGTTTAGACTGGATAATCTCTATTGATCCACAGCCATGTTCACTGCCTCTTTATCCGTGTTATCTCAATTCTGCAACTGAGCCCACCCAGTGAGTTGTTGTTGTTGTTTTTAATTAATTACATTTTTTAGTTCTAAACTTTCCTTTTGGTTCTTTTTAATAGCTTCTATATATTTGCTAGGGCTTTCTATTTTTCCATTCTTTTCAAGAGTGCTCACCCTTACTTCACGAGACATTTTTGTATCAGCTGTCTTAGAGTCTCTGTCAATAATTCCAACATCTGTAGCATCCCAGTGTTGGCATCTGCTGAATGTCTTTCTCAGCCAAGTTGAAATTCTCCTGCTTCTTTGTATGCTGAGCCATTTTGGATTTTTATGCTGAGCCATTTGGATTTGCATGCTGAGTGATTATAAATGATATCCTGAAACATATGAAAACACGAGATTCTGAGTCTTGTTTAAAACTCTTGGTTTCACGCTACTTCAAATTCTGATCTTCTTGCCACATCCCCCTGCCACCATTTACTGTTCAGAGTCTGCAAATAGCTATCCCATCCATTCTGCCTGGGTTTTATAGCTACATTGAGGAGGACAAACTGTATGGAGCGTACATCCTCCAGCTTACCTGGAATCAGAAATTATCTTGATCGGCAAATTAACAGATTTGGCCCACAATTGGAAAAAATTCAGCCTGTCATTTTTATACAGCTGATCTCTTGAGTTTTGGACAGCTCTATCACATTTATGTGACTGGACGTTGTTTTCTCTCTGTCACTGCCCACTGAGACACAGGCCCACTACCCGGGCCTTTGGTCATATGACACTTTTTTTTTTCCTGTCCTCTCTGTCCTACTTCCCATCCCACCCATTGATTGGTCACTTCCCCATTGTCTTCTTTCGGTTGAGACAAAGTTGGAATTTTCCACAAGGGACTCTGTAGAGTAGGTGGGATAAGAAATATAACGACACTGATTTGGGGGAATAATAGCAAATCTGCACAGCACTGCCCAGTCTGGAGAGCCCTTGTGTGTCCTTTCCTCATGTCATCCTTGGGTCATCCCTTAGAACAACTCATGTCACAGTTGACGCAGTAGAACTTTTTTTTTCTTTTAAGATTTTATTTATTTATTTGACAGAGAAAGACAGGGAGAGAGGGAACACAAGGAAGGGAAGCAGGAGAGGGAGAAGCAGGCTCTCCACCAAGCAGGGAGCCCAATGTGGGGCTCAATCCCAGGACCCTGGGATCAGGACCTGAGCAGAAGGAGGACACTGGGAGAAGGAGAAGAGAAGGGAGTTGGGGGAAATTGGAGGGGGAGATGAACGAACCATGAGAGACTGTGGACTCTGAGAAACAAACTGAGGGTTTTGGAAGGGAGGTGGGTGGGAGGTTGGGTGAGCCTGGTGGTGGGTATTAAAGAGGGCATGTATTACATGGAGCACTGGATGTGGTGCATAAACAATGAATCTTGGAACACTGAAAAAATGAAATGAAATGAAATAAAATAAAGAAGGCAGACGCTTAATGACTGAGCCACCCAGGTGCCTGCAGTAGAACATTTTAATATCTGAGGTGATCCTCTCAAGGTTCCTTGGTTGTGGAAGAAGCAGAATGACAACAAAGTACATTTCCTGGCTCCAGAGCAAATGTACTTACTGCAGTTCTCTGCCCTGGTTTGAGAAATAATGATTTAATGGTTTCCAGGTTTGGGTAACCCAGATTGCAAAACATCGGCCCTGTGCACTGTCATGGCCAGCGAGTCAGATGAGCAAGCTTGCCGCAGGGTCTTTGGGTCTCAGCCTCAGTGCAGCGTGGGTGCGTCCCGCAATCTGGTAGGGCTCACGGTTCCTCCCAAGATATCATCTGTCTCCATTTCCATGAGCTTTCATTAAATCTCTACTATATTTCTGGCACAGCTGCACGCCCAGCAAATGAAGGATGAGTAAGACCATCCCCAGCCCCCCGGCCCCTGTGGGCCCCAGCTGATCGCCCAGGTTCTCCGGGCCTCATGGGGCCTGCCAGAAGGCTTTAGCGTAAAGTGCCTGGGTGTCTGAGCTCATGGAGGTCTCCTTTCCCTACAGTCCTCCGGGCCTCGCATGAGCAGGAGAAGGAAGCCCTTACCCACTCCTTTCAGGAGGCCAAGGCTACCCTGCAGGTGAGAGGGAACTCATGGCCATCTCTGCGGGGGAGGGGAGGACCTTCGGGAAAGCCGCCTGGCCTCTACTTAGGGGTGAGGGACAGAGGTGAGTGTCTTCTGTGTATCCAGCCCCTCGATGTGGTGACTGAGCTATTAGCTCCAGAGGACTTGGTATGAGATCAGGGTTGGCCTATTTCTCTGAGAACTGCGCTTGGAGGATCTTGGAGACCTCATGGGCCAGGTACCATGGTGTGACCGGGCTGGCAGGTGGATACACAGGGAGCTTCGGAAGCACGAAGGAAGGCATCTGAGTCAATTTATCAGGTCAAGGCCTTCTCAGAGGGATGAAACCTTAGCTGGAACCTGAAGGATGGGTTGGAATTCTTCTGATGAAGAAGGGTAAGAGGAGTGCCCTAGGGAGGAAAAAAAAACCAACCCCAGTGTGCTTAAAGACATAGAGAAGAGGGGGAAATGTGATTACCTGTAGAACTGAAAAAAGTTCAAGATCCCCCTGGGATGATGAGTATGAGTAACTAGGAACCAAGGCTGGTGAGGAGGTAAAGGCCAGGTGGTGGGGCCCATGAGCCATATGAAAGGTGTGCTCTATCGTGAAGGTATTGGGCAAGGTTAGGATGCCGGAAGCTCTTGGAAGGGGAATGTAGGAAGCAAGAATATACTTGGCAATGGGAGGACAGTGAGGGAAGACTGAGGAAGTGCAGAGTCCAGCTTGGGTGGGCTTTCCATGTCGAGCTAGCACCAGCAGCCTGGAACACCCGGACATGGTCCCCAAGCGCACTGGGAGTCCTTAAAGGCTTTATGAGCAGAGATGGGGCTGGTATGTTTCAGGCAGGGGTTGAAGCAAATCAAGCCTGCATTGGTGGGTAGGGCAGGGTGAAGATTCATGGAAGAACCCAAACCGTGCCCTCTCTGGGATGAGAAGTCCACCTCCAGCCTTTATGAACCAGCCTTTGGCCATCTCCCTCCAACTCCCTTCTCCAGGAGACCATCGATGGACTGTCCTCACAGCTGGAGGTCTTCCAGGCCAAGATGAAGAGGGTAGAAGAGTCCATTTTGAGCCGAGACTATAAGAAGCACATCCAGGCAGGTGGCAGTTAACCTGGCAGTTTTCCTTTTCGAATCTCCAGGGAGGTCACGGTCTGGGCACTGGGAAAATCCGGGTCCTCTTCAAGGCCAGGGCTAGACCTGACACTCTTACTTTCACAAGGGCCTGGAAGAAAGAGGGTCCCCGTGTCACTGAGGGGGAAAGTAAGGCTGAGAGAGAAGCATGGGGGGTCGTGACGTGCTTGGGCTCTGGATTCGGAAGGAACTAGGTGCAAAGAGGTAACCTAGCACTTAGCACGAGCAACTTAACCACTCTGAACTACAGTTCCTCATCTAGGGTGGGAACGGGGCTTGCGGCTGAGGGTGTTATTAGGCTGGCAGGAGATGGAGCATGTTAAGCATTTACAGTGAGCCCCAAGGAAAGGAGGTGACTGGGGAGAGGCAGACAGTGATTTGGAGGCAGAATGGGAGAGTAGCAGGTAGCCCGTACCCCTCTCTCCCTGACTGCTGGTCTGATGAGATGATTCTGCACCCATGTCTAGGATTATGGGAGCCCCAGCCAGTTCTGGGAGCAGGAGCTGGAGAGTTTACACTTTGTCATCGAGATGAAGAACGAGCGTATTCACGAGCTGGACAAGCGGCTGATCCTCATGGAAACAGTGGTCTGTGCCTGGCAGCTGGGGGCGACGCAGCCTCAGGCTTGGCCTTTCTGAGCATTTTCTTTCTAAAGGGTGTGGAGGGAAGGCCCTTTGAGGAGGTTCCAGCATAGGCCACACCCGCGTGGACCGGCCACCCATGCTGGCCCTGGAGACAGCTGAGGCTGGTCTGCGGCCAGTCTGGGTCAATCACGGGCCCCTTCTCATATGGGCCCTGGGCTTTTCTGGGCTATTCCTGCTGCTCTAACTTGGGTGACTCCAGGGGTACCCTGGCTAATTGGGAGAGGCTGGCAGGTGTTACGTGCCAGGCAGGGGCTGGGGAAGAAGGCAAGGCTGAACCATCAGACAGAAAGGAGGCCAGAATCAAGGACAGGCCTGGGGAGTGATGGGCATTGAGCACACTGATGGCTTTGTCTCCAGGAGAAGGGAGGCCTGGGGAACCTAGGGCAGCATCCAGAGGGAGATTATGTTACTCCAGAAGAAATCTCCCTATTTATGGGTGCCACACAAACTGTATTCTAATCAGACCATCTCAGACGCTCCCTGTGAATTTTGTTGAACCATTTTTGTGCACTAGCATAACAGACACATGTAATTTTATTTATATAGATTATATCCTGACTTCGGAGAACCAAAAATATCCTTTCCCTTATGCACTGATGGAGATCTTAGATGGGAGGGGCTATATTTTTTTGCTACGTCTCATGTGGCAAAATTAAAAACTGGCAGCTCTGTGTTCACTCCTTGGGTGTGTTTTTTAAAGTAATCTTACTGCTTCACAAAATGTAACATCGAGTCCAGACTGAGTCAGTGTTTTCAGTGACCACAGATAAGAGGGAGGTGATGGCATCCGTTGTGCCATGTGAGGTCAGTGGCTTTCTGAGTGCCATCTGATTCGTTACAGAAAGAAAAAAATCTGATGTTGGAGGAAAAAATCTCCACCCTGCAGCAGGAGAACGAGGACCTCCATGTCCGGGCCCGCAACCAGATGGTTATGTCAAGGTAGCTGTCCCCTGCCCCCGTCTCCCCTTGCCACCATTTGGTCAACATCTCCGGTTGGGAGGGTCTTGGAGAACCTGGGAAATGGACCTACAGGCAGGCCCAGGCCTTTCTGGGGAATGTGGCTCCCTCTTTCCTTGACAGTCAAGAATCCCAGCAGACCAGCTCTGTCCAGGAACCTCGGTCTTAGTGTCCTGATTGATATCTGTCCCCATCCTGGCTGAGTCGTCTCCACTGCAGAGCCCAGTACAGGAAGAGGGGACAGGAAATGTCTAGCTGGGGTGACCTAAGGAATGAATGAATGAGTATATATGAATGAAGGAACCCATTCTAAATGCTTGGTAAATGAGAGCCACCATCATGTGTCAGACATAATTCATTGAATTGTTTACATAGTATCTCACCTAAGCCTCATAATTACTCTAAGAGCCCGTCCACCTGTTATCACTCCCATTTTACAGATGAGGAAACTGAAACTTGGCAGGAGTCAAGGACTTGTTCAGGGTTACACAGCTAAGTGGTGGGGCAGATCCGAACCCAGAGCTGTCTACCTGTGAGGGCCACTCTGCTCTGTCAAGGGATCCAATGACCTCTTGCGTCCAGGGGGACGACAGGGTGGTGGGGGTCCTGATGCGGGCAGGCGGCCCCTCTGTGGAAGGCCCCCTAGAGGAATGGGCTGGTTGATGCAGCCGCTGCCAGGCTGTTCCCCACTGGCAACACGGGCCTCTGTCTGCACCCACAGACAGCTCTCGGAGGACCTGCTTCTCGCCCGCGAGGCCCTGGAGAAGGAGTCCCAGTTGCGGCAACAGCTCCAGCAGGAGAAGGAGGAGCTGCTGTACCGGGTTCTCGGGACCGACGCCTCCCCTGCCTTCCCCCTGGCCTCTGTCACCCCCACGGAGGTCTCCTTCCTCGCCAGCTAGGGCCCGGGGCCTGGGCCCTCCATGACGCCTGTGGTCACGGCTCCCTCTTGAGGACTTACTGAAGAAGACAGCAGGAGCCTCTCATCTTGTCCCAGGAAGGGCGGAGGGCAGGAGTGAGGTGGGAGCCAGGGTGTGTGCCCAGAGGCCTGGGGGCCTGGGCCATGCAGGATCACCCATGGGGTGATGGAAGGCCCCAGATGTGCCTTCCCTGGAGTTGGCCCGGGGAACAAGCAAAAGGAGTCCTTCCGTCCCTCCCTATTCTCTCTGTTCAAATCAGGGAAGTCCTGACCTTTTTCCAGGGGCAGTGCTGCTGAGGTCATCTGACAAAGAGACAAGCCCCCTGGTCCTGACTTGGTAGCTTTCCCCAGATGTTCTCGCCTCTGCTCAGACCCTCCCTTAGCCTCAGTTTACCTGTCCTCTAAAACAGGCAGGGGAACTGAACGAATGATACTTGAGTCTCTACAATGTCCTAGTCTAGGTTTGTTTGAAGGACAGACAGGGGGCTGGGGACAGGGGAGGAAGTGGGCCAGACCCTGGGAATTAACAGGGAAAGGTGGGCAGCTGGAAAGGGGGCTGCTGGAGGCCCATTGGGCTGGCGGTGCCAGGGCCCGAACCAGCCAAAGCAGGGGCTAGACATGACCTGGGGTATGCCACTGCTTCTGGTCCCAGAGTCTGGTCAGCCCAGGGGATAAGCCAGATAGCCTCCTCCCTGACCAGGCAAGGCTCACTTCCTCAGCCCTCCAGGTCTCTCTGTCTCAGGGCCACCTCGTGGGTCTGGAGATACCTAGCTGCCAGAGCTAGAACCTCATCCCTGTAGAGATGAGAAAACCACGGTGGGGAGTGGAGCCCACAAAGCCAGGACCAGGACCTCAGCTGTCATCCCGCTCTTAGCTCGCTGTGCTTGTTTTTCTCCTCAGGCTCTGGAAAAATCAAATGTGTGACTTACCTTCCTCTACCTGCCCGCTCCCCAACTTCTGGTTTCTCTCTTCCTCCTGCTCCCTCTACCACGCCTGATGCCAGGTGCCAGGACCCCAGATCCTGGCCCTCAGCTTCCCCATCAGTGCAGAGGGGTGGCTGGAGAAACCAGCCTTGGCAGGCCTGTGCAGCCCAGACTGTCTGTGGATTTAATATTCTTCTCAGGAAGCTTCAGGTCAGCTGGACACTGTAGAGAGAACCCCTCCCCTGCACAGAGCATTTTAATTCAATGCTCTCACATATACTCCCTCGTGTCAGCTACCTAAGATTCTTGAAGCCAGTTCTCATCCCTCTTCAGCAGCAGAGCAAACTGAGAATCACAGGAGCTGGAGGGCCTTCCCTGAGATTCCCCGGCTCCAGCCCCAGACCCCAGACCAGCAAGTAAGAAAGGCCAGTCCAGTAGAACTGAAGTTAGCTCCATCAACCCAGACCTGGTCTTCAGCCATTTCTTGTTCTGGAATTCAGATGTGACTCTCTTTCTCCATTTCTCCCCTAGTAGGGCTAAGGGAGCGCTGAGCTGCTTCTCTGGCTGTGGGCAAACAGGTTATATATCTGGGAGCCTTGGGAACAGCTCTGGAGTGAAGTACACATGTACTTCATGCATCTTTCCCCAAAGTTTGTCTGGGATATGCTCATTCATTGCACATTAATAGGCATGACCAAGAAAGAATTGATAGCCAAGTAATCTGAGAAACTCTAGATTCTGTCAAGTTAAACAGATCTGCAAAGTACAGGACTTCTCAGAACCCTTAATGCGCTAATGTGAACTGCAAATTTCCAAAAGGAAGCAGAGTATCCAGCATTTTCTAAACTCCTTTGACCAACGTCCCACCCCAACCTAAGCACTTCAGGCTGCAGAATGCACTTTAGAAAGCATCGTTTTAATTGAGAAGCGCTAGGCTGGAGAAGGGGCAAGTTGTGGGGAGCAGGGCTTCCCTCCTGTAGCCTATGGCGGAGGCAGGGAGATGAACTGTGGTCACACCCTCACCCTGGGGAGACAAGCCGTGGGAACCATGGCATTGTGCTTATTTGGCCCCTGTGTTTTCCTGAGAGAGGAGGGGACTCCTCACTGAGGAACCAGGGTCCTTTGGGCAATATGTCCTGGGCCTGAGTGACTTGCCAGTGGCTCTGGGCTCCCTCCTGGGGTACTGGTACCCCACTGGCCCTAGCTCTGCCCAGCCTTGGAGTGGGGGCTGATGTTGGAGGGAAGGCTGGCAGTCAGAACAGCTCAGGGCTTGGAGGGAGGCTGTGAGGTTGATGGAAGGCGTGGAAACTGGGATGTGCAGGCAGAGTATAAGGTGTGAGTGCAAAGGTTCTTTTTGCACTCTTTTGGGAGTAACAACTCCTTGGCATCAAAAACACCAAGGTTCACATGGTTACCTACCCCTGTTTGGCCCCATTGTTCCACACCAGTATGCCTACAGCTAGGGAGGGAGCTAGGAAGCAGCAGGGGAGACGTGAGGGCTTCTGGTCACACGGATACAGATGGTGGCAGTCCCCGTGCCCTGAAGGTTGGTGGGCTGGCAGGTGTAGATGCCAGGGTCCCCGGCCCAGGGCCTCTTCCACATACAGGGTGCTGCCTGCCTCCTGCTGCACCCGGCTTTCTCGGCGAACGACACTGACCTACTCCCTGATGTCGGGGCTCAGCCCATCTGCTGGGACAAAAAAATAACTGTTCATCAGCCAGCCCAGGTGTCCGGCTCAGGCACCAGCAGGCAAGTGAGAGACTGTGTGTTCCTTCAGGGACAGGGACAGGGACTTGTCCAATCCACACATGCAGATCAGAGCACCTGAAAGAAAAGGTTCTTTGTGGCAAATGTGAGCTTCTCAAGTCCCTGAGGACAAGCTAGGGTCTCCTCTCCAACTCAAGGAGATGCAGGAAGTAGCTTGGCTGAGAGCAGCAACCCCCTCACCCCCCGGTAAGGCACTCTGGTTTTGTGTGGTTGTTAATGGGTGCTACCTCCCCAAGGGGGAAGGGTTCTATTATGAAAATTGTTTGGGAAACACTGAGTCAAGCAATATTAAATTGGAGAGACTCAGACCACTGAGTCTGTCACATGTGCGTGTGAGTTGTGAGTCTCCAAGGTAAGAGGAAAAAAAAACCACTTTCTTGGGGGGTTTGAGGCTGGACTTTTTGGTATCCAAGGAACATATCTGGGGAAGGACTAGTACAGCAAAGCCATGTCTGCCAACCATCTGTGCATTCTTTTCCCCTGTTGGGTCTCAGTTTCCATTTTGGACAAGTGAGAGAATGATCCCCCACTCTTTCCCTCCTAAGGCTCTGGAGAGCTCACCTTCACAGTGTCTTTGTTGGTCCAGCCCTCCCTCCAAGGCTCAGGTTGAATTTCATCTCTTCTAAGAAGCCCTTTTAAGGATTCTTGAAGTTGTCGGTGCTGGTTGATCTACTGTGTGACCCAGTTGCTCTCCAGATGTTTGAGGGTTATGGGGGTACGGTCTTTGAGAGGAAGGAACATCACTGCCACCTGTCCAACAACACCTTAGGAAGGTCTGACCCACGGCAGGTGCCCGGGGAACAGTTGCTAAAGGATTTCATCCATCTCTTATTACACACACAGAGCATAAGGCCCAAGCACTTGCCCCAGTCCCGTGTTCATGCCATTTGGGCCAGTCTGATCTCAGCTTGAATGTCACCTCAGAGAAGACTCCCTGACCACTCTGTCTTAAGAAGCTCTTATGACGTTGCCCTGATGTATCCTTGATACATCAGGGATGTTTAGTCTTCTCTCCATGATCATGGTCATTTCCCACTTCTTCCTCCCCAGGTAGACTGTATGCTTGCCGACAGCAGATGCCAGAGCTCTTTGTGCCTCATCCTTGTGGTCTCTGCACGAACTACAGTGTCTGGAATATGGTGGCTGCTCAGTAATTATTATTGGACAAATTAACAAAGGAACACATTATACATTTTATACAATAAACTAAACAAGGACACTGAGGCCCAAGGTCACTCAGAGTAGCAGTCCAGCAGTGGTTCCACTTGGACATGATCACTCCCGACCCTCACTCTCGTGCTCTTGGCAATACACCACCACCACAGACCCACATCTGCAGCCTTTTCTTCTCCTCTGCCCTGGATATTCCCCCAGACAAAGCCCACAGCAATTTCCGGCTCACCCCGAGACATACAGGTCACACTGAAGTTCTCTCCCCGTTGGGCTGATGTTGCTGAAGTTTGGACGGTGGTGTGGGGGAGGAAGATGGGTGTGCTATGGAGAAGATGGGAGAGAAATGGGGGAAAACCTGTTGAACCGATTGTTGGAATGACTGAATGAAACGAATGAGTGGAATGGTGTGTTCATAGAGAACGAATGGTTGGGTTGGTTGAATTGATAGATGATGGGCGGCTGATGGAACAGGTCATCCGATGGAGGATGGGTGAATGGAATGGTGTAGCGTGACTGAGAATGAGTGGATAGACAGCCTTCTGGATGCAAGTTTGTTCAATAGCTGATTGGCTTGCTGGCCGGACAAGTCAGTTGACTACATGGGGATGTTGTTGAAAGTTGGTTGGTTGCTTAGAGTTCCATAAGCCAAAGAACCCAAATCTGAGGTCGCTAAAGGAGGCATCTCTCCCCATGTCCTCCCTTGCCCTGCCCACCCAGGCCCTAGGCCTGTGGCACAGTTGGTGTAGATCAGCATCTACTTGGTAGAGATTTGTCTCAAGCCACTGAGGCAGCCAAGCAGAAGAGGGAGCCAGCCAAGGAAGCTAGGGGCCAGTGGATGGTGAAGCCCTTCTTCACATGAAAGGAGATGTCATTCCCATCCCATCCACTGGGACTTCCTCGAGTGGGAACTCCGGAGGCAGTGTCCCCTGGGCCAGAGGGTTGGTCACCTGGAAGGGAAGCAGGACTGGCTGATGGTTGCACAATTGTACCACCTCATAATAATCCTCAGAGGGGAGGGGGACAAAGAGGTGCTCTGGGTCTGGGAAGGAAAGAGGGGGGAAGAAGAATGAGCTTGACCTAGACAAGTTGTTTAATGGGGCTCCATGACCCACCAGCATGAAGTCCCTCAAGGGCAGGCCAGAATCACCTCAAAAGGCCAGCCAACCCTTTCCTCTACTCAGCCCCCTAGGGAGCCGGCCTCGGGGCTTGCAGATCGGGCCTGCCATGCCCCTAGGCCCTAACCCTAGGTTGGGTTTTCAGGCTTCAGCCCCAGAGGCCTAGCCCTCAAGCCCTCCAGATTGGGGACCCCTGAGCCACACTCCAGGACTCTGACTGCCACCCAGGAGGAATTCGCACCCTTTGGAGCTGCACAAAACCCTCAGAGTGGGAGAAACTGGCATGCCCCGCTGAGGCCACCCCCACATTTGGCGCCCCCCCCCAGCCACAAAGCTGGAGCCTGATGCCCCGTCTCACCACTGTCCTCCACTCAGCCCCCTGGGGAGCCCACCTCAGCGCCAGCCCATTGGTCCTGCCATGCCCCTAGCCCCTAACCCTAACTCTAGGTTGGGTTTTCTGGCTTCCATCCCCAGAGACCTGGCACTCAAGCCCTCCAGATTGGAGACCACTGAGCCACACCCCAGGACTCCACCTGCCACCCAGGACAAATCCATGCCATTTGGAGCTGCATAAAACCCTCAGAACGGGAGAAAACGGCATGATCCCCCCCACCAGGCATCCCCCACCTTCAGCGCCCCACCGGGCCACAAACACAGAGGCTGACACTCCATTGAACCCCCTCCCTCCACACTGCCCCCAGAAGTCTCCCCTGGGCGGGGGCCCTCGGATAAGCCACAGGGACCCAGCCCGTGTTACCGGATGGTGGCGACGCACACCTAGCAAGAAAACACTCTAGACCATGGCACCAGCACGGCCTGAATCGCTGTCCACGCCGGCCAGTTCTCCTGGGCTTTCTGCCAGATCGATGTCAATTTAAGCTTAGGGTTAGGGCTTAGGGGCATGACAGGCCCGATTTGCCAGCTCTGGGGGAGGAGGCTGAGTTGAGAGCATGAGTCCGGCAGCGCACCAGAATCTGGGTTTGTGGGGGGGGGGGGG